TGCCCTTCTTAAAATACTGTAAATGTCTGCAGGGTGAGCCAACTGTTAGAAATAGCCACTAACCAAACCTGAGACTGGATGGAGTGGTGATGCTGGTAAGAGACCTTTGATGGGGAAAGCATAGGTACACATTGGAATGAAGTGTGACTTTCAGTTTTAATTATGCATAACCAGAGCTTCAGCTTTGCTACCAACTATGCAGGAAATCATGAAAATATTCATATGTGTAACCTATTTCTATAGCATTAAATGAAATCGTTCTTAACTTTGAGACAAAACACATTTGCCTCTATATTTCTTTTTAAGGAACAGTTCCAAATCAATAGGTGTCTCACTGCATCATTTAAACATCACGAGTAGGTCTTAGGAGTCATATGGCATCTTGTTTTCTGTAGCTGGACAACTCTTAGATCTTATTCATCACCCTGCTGAACAGTTTCTTTTTCAGAGACATAGATACCATCCAAAAATTTCCTAATATCTTTGTTTTTGACTGTGGTGGCTTGCTGACTCAAAGAAGCTGAATTTGAAACAAACTCAATGTCATTTCCTTCAAGGATTAATTCATCTTTCTGGGGTTGAGATACCGAACAAGTAACACCTGGCCTCATCTGAACCCTGTGGATATATTTTTTAATCCAAGAAATTTCAGATTTCAACAAGAGACCCATTCTCCTGGATAACGACATTGATGGGGAAGTGAGCATGCACAGACCTCATCTTGTAGGGGAAGCCCAGTGTAACACCCTTAATCATGTTCTGTACATGACAACAAATAGTCCAAATGGTAGCCAGCTCCTTTGCTATTCTGCCGTTTGTCAATCCAGAGCCTATTTTTTTTTCCATTTCCAAGAAGACTAAGATCTACATTGATGTGATTGAAGTCCCTCTGCAGGGTATCTCTGGGGCCCTTCACGGTAACTGCGTGTCCCTTCAGAGTAATGGCCACATTTTCTGGAATGTCGACAGTCTGATTGCTGAGAACGGTCTTCATTCTCACAGTAGATATGGCAAAGAAAAGCTGCCTCTATATTAATTAGCGCTTAATTTATACTCTTAAAAGAACAGCCTTCTTACTAGTAAAGAAAAATGCAATTATCAAAAATTCAGAACTTCGATCTCACTAGTTGACTGGGAAGCAAGTGCCCATGATGGTTTCTCTTTATTGCTACGATCTGCATGCTCTAACACAAGACTGCACAGTCCAACTTGAAAATATGTATTCCCAATCAGTAGGTTAGATACATACTTTCAAGATAATACTTCTTTTTTCTTTCCTTCCTCTTTCTTTCCTTCCATTCTTTTTTTCTTGGAGTACATTAAAAAAAGAATGATTTGCTATCAGTTTTTGAAGTTACAAAAAATAATCCCTAAAAGAAAGGAGTAATTCTAAGAGACAACGAAGTCCCACTGTAGTATATAATTTAGGTGTGGGGGCATCCAGGTACTAATCAGTACTTTGCCAACCTGAGGATTCTAAAAAGACTGACAGAATGACAACTGCTAGTTGAAATAGTTACAGCTTATTTTAGCACAGATATGTGTAACGTAATGTCAAAATCAGAAAGCAGACCACTTTGCCTGAACAGAAAAATGATTCATAAAGAGAAAAATCTCACATGTAAATTGTAACATCAATATTCAACATATTTTCTTTTCAATGAATTTTTTTTCCAGGCTATCTGGATTAGGTTTCGAAACTCAGTTGGCCAGATGAGATTTAGAAGAGTGTCTATTCATTGCCTAAAGAAACACCAAGTAGGACTAGGTGGACTCTGAAGGGAAAAAAACGATAGAAACAAAATATGGCAATTTTTTTTTTGTTTGCTGGTGAAGTTTGCCAATTGAATAATGTGAGTTGGGCATGGTGGGTCAGGGAAATAGGGATATTGCTTTTGGGAGTTTTCAAGCTGTTGTCTTCAGGGTTCTTTAGTACCTTTATGCCTTCTTTCCTTATGACTTCCTTAAGTCCATGATTAAGACCCGAGGCCTTTCTATCAGCTTCCTGTGCACATCAAGGCTAAAAGCAGACATACCTATGGGAGCAGGCAGGTGACAGTACAGATGAATGAGGCAGAGGGTGGTGACCTAGGGGACCCAGGGCTTTTCCTTCCAGCTGATAAATGCCAGGAGGAAACAGAGCCAAAATTATAAGGTGTCAAGGATAATGATTTTACATAAGAATCTGGATATTTTAGTGAAGTTGCTTGGTTTTTAAAGGCTGGCTTATTGAAAAAACATGCTGGGCTCACTGAAATGCTTTTGTCTGGGTTGCAGACAGTGCCAAAGAAGATTAAAACAACGCACTTGTTCTCAATACATATTTCAAAGAAAGGAAAAAATATCATAGATAACTGTTTTTTATTTCCCCCCTCCAAATCTGTTTGCTAGCCAGTATCAGCATAAATAAAAGTATCGAGAATGACAACACAGGTCTGGGAGCATGCAGAGGTAGCGTCCAGGGTGGCCAGGGATGATTGAGAGTCAGGATGAGGCTGTGCCAGATCCGGGAGAACCTTATGAATACCCAAGAGTCGAATACCTCTGGTCAAGAGACTCGATACTTAACTACAACCAACACCACCATCACCACCACTACTGCTACCAAAACACAACACAAAATAAAACCCTTTTATTTTTGGCTGAAAATCTCAGTAAATGATTTAAGAGCACATCCGATTATATGCTCCAATAATTACCACAACAGCAAACTGTAAGAAATCATCATGGCCTCATATGAGAATTGTTTTTGACCTTGCTAAGAATTTCCTGCAACTTTCCAGCTATGTTTTGAGCTGCTATTTATATTTGAGAGCAAAAGAACGTTATATAGACCCATGTGTTCAGCTGTACCAAACAGACGGGAAAGACTGTTGCTTGACTAATTTCCATACCAAATTTAAATATTCAACAGTAAGTATTACACATTAATTTAAGTCATTTTAAATTTCTCCAATCCAAGGAAACTGACCAAATCAAATAACTCTGTATAGTTTAGATGAGTTAAGTGATTTTTAATAGAGCCTTATTTGTTGGCTCTTAGAGTAGAACAATGCAAACCTGGGCCCAGCTAAGATTTGTGGCTTGCCTTGCTACCCACTTGTTCTACTTTTCTGTACCTAGACTAGCCGCCTAACCTGCTGCCTACCTAATCTTGTATTAGCTGAGAGAGGAAGAAATAGCAACAAAAAAGAATTATTATAGCAGGTCCAACTAGCAAACTTACCAAACACTAAGCTAGACTTTATGGATATACATATATTAAAAATAAATCTACCATATTTACTCTTCTTCCTGGAAAGCAACTCAGCTGCTAGCCTGGAGATGGAAAATGACTTAAAGCCTAAGAAATTCTTCACTTGCATAAATCTGATTTTGATTCTTGAGAGCTAGGTTTCAGTAAGAACTAGTCTAACATTGAACAGATAATTATTATTTTACTTAGGTTTTTAAAAATTTGTTTCTACTTTTATAACATTTTATAGAATGCATTAAACAGTGCACATAAAATTGCTAGAGAGTGCACAATTTCCAGAAATGCCCTGGGTTTCTGTTACATTCAGTTTTCTAAAGATGCACTCAAATCAAAGGTAAAATGCAGACAATTATATGATATTTTATTATTTTTGGTAAAACTATTCTCACTATTGTGTCTTCTCATAGTATTAACTGTGATACCCACTTTGTGCAGGATCTAATAGACAATTATTGAGCCCAAATCTATTAGCACCTCTCTTGGAATTAAAGTTAGTTATAAACTACATATACAAAAATAGACAATAAAATAGTGTATCCCATAGACAACGTGATCTCTTTGCAAAGATGATGTCATTTTCTAACAGTAGAACCAATGTTCAAGAATATGTTTATAAAAGGAAAAATACCAAATAAAAAATTACCTTTTCACTTAAGAAATGCCAATAATCCACCCTAATACTTAAAGTCACATTAAATGTTTTAGAGTCACTATATTTGTTGCCTATGGCTGCTGTAACCAGTTACAAGCACAGTGGCTTAAAACAATACAAATTTATTATCTTACACCTCCGGAGGGGAGAAGTCCTAAAATTCAAACTGTGGGTAGGCTGTGTTTCTTTGTGGGGGCTTTAGGGGAGAATCTGCTTTCTTGCCCTTTCAGCTTTAGAGGCTGCCTGCATTCCTTTGCTCATGGCCCCCTCCTCCATCTTCAAAGTCAACAACATAGCATCTTCAACTCCTTCTCTGACTTCTGCTTCTTTTTAAAAAAATTTTACCGTGATTTATTTATTTTTTAATTTTGTGGGTAAACAGTAGATGTATATATTTATAGGTTACCCAAGATATTTTGATACAGGCATGCAATGAATAATCATCACATCAGGGCAAATGGGGTATCCTGACCTCTGCTTCTGACGTTGCATCTCCTCTTCTGACTCTGACCCTTCTTCTGTCTTCGCCTTATAAGAACTCTGTGATTATGTTGGGCCTATCTGGATAATTCAGGATACTCATCCCATTTCAGGATCTTTAATTTAATCCCATTTACAAAGTCCCTTTTGCTATATAAGGTAATGTATTCACAGGTTCCAGGAATTCAGATGTGGGGGGCAAGGAGGCATTATTCTGTTTACCATAGTCACTAAGATCACACATGCCAAAAGTATTATAATACTTTTGCACTACCTGTGTAATATTAACTAAGAGTGCTTACTTTAAAGAAACACATTCCTAAAAAATCTACTAAAATAAAAATGATGAAAGGTTTGTCTTCTTCCATCGAGCCAAGCATATAATTTCTACATGACATAATGAACAACTGTAAAGAAAAATCATGAGGATTTTTCATCCAATGTTCTTTTGCCACAGTAAAAATCAAACATGTTTTCTCTCCAACTTATGAGGCAGATGACAGGCACATCCTGGTTGCTAGAGACAACGTGTTCTCATTTAGAGATACTGTTTCAGGCCTGATGTTGACATGGTAACAGGTGGATGGGTTATTTGACCGCACTAAGTATTACCTGTTTGAATAGAGCGTAGGCCTGTCGTGTGGATAGTGCTCATTGACGTATAAGGAAGAGGATGAAATCGTGGTCGCCAAGGAAGCAGCTTCAAACAGTGATGGAGTGCTAGGCACCAGGTCTGGTCTGTGTCGGGATCCCAAGGCTGGGAATGAAAGCAACACACACATTCATGAATTTCAAGAATAAATGCAGCTTTAGTATCTATAATAATCTAAATGAGTCAAAAGCATTCATTTTACCTATTGGGCTGCAAATTAAATTATGAATTAACTGTACTCTTTTCTGAATTACAGAAGAAATGCAAAATAGCTTCTTGCAAACAGGTTATACGGAAAGGAAATTGCACTAATTTACAAAATGGCTTATGGCAATGATATTATGAATGTTGTTTCAAAAACCTTATAAAGTGATTTACTATTTCAAAAAGATGGCATTAAAGAAACTCACAGGAATTTAAGCAGATAATTTGACAGAGATTAAAAGGATAACTGGCAAGTGTATAAACAGACAGTGAACCTTTTTGCCCTATCTGTTTCTCAGGTTGGATCTCAGGTTGGATCTAGGAATCCAGACTTTTCAAGAGCCAGAAAACAAATACTTCGACAGACTAACAGCCAACTCTGCCTTAACCCCATCTGAGCACGTAAATACTTCTAAACATTATCCAGGACTCTTTTTGACATTTTAGCAGCAAAACTACCTTTTCAAAAAATGAGAAAACACTTTTTTTTTTTTTTTAATTTAGGGGCTCATGAAATTACTTATGCAAGAGCCCATTCTTGTGAGGAAAGAGGAATGTTCAAGGCTGAGCCCATCTCTCTGGAGTCTAGGTAGAGGGACTCTTTTCATCATTCCCCCAGACTGACCTAAAACAGATGCTAATATATTGTAACTTTAAGGTGTTCCTGGTATTCCTTTATAGGCCCAACAAATTCAAAATTAAGGATTCTTAGTGTGTAAATGTAAACCGACCGTAATAGGCATCCTTGTGTGAGTGTGAGGTTCTGGACTTTGGATTTGAAGGGTGTAGGTGGTAGGGTAGGGAATGACAGGGAGGGAAGCCAGGCAACCTCAGGAAAGGCTGGACTCTGATCTGGCAAACAAGGCGACATATTGGGATGCTCTGTCTCCAATTCAGGTCAAAACAGAAAACTGCAGCAATGGATAACAGACGATTGTCATATAAAACCACAAATGACCAAAGTGCTCCACCTTCAAAAATTAGGCTTCAACTTTCATGTGACACCTGGCTCGCAATCTTCAATATACTTGATCCCAACTTCTCATTAAATGGAAAGAAAAACATGAATACTGTCCATAACATTGAAAACTGAGTGTCAAAAGTAATTTCATATCAGATTCCAATGAATTGCCACTCCTTGTAAGGTAGATGGAGTTGCTCTTCGACCTAGGTTTTGGGCTTACCAGCTTTACTTCACAAAGCAGACATGACCTGAGTGACAGAGCAAAACACATTTGTCTAGTGACTCAGTTCCAGGTCACACATCATCAGGAAGGTGACCCCTCAACCCATGAGGAGCAAGCAGCTCTTTGAGGGAGAGAAGTGTTTCCTCATGCTCCCATATCCTTCAGTTTTTTCTAAAGCCAGTGTGGTAGGCAGAACTCTAAGATGACCCCTAATGACCCATATTCTTGTAAATTCTTTCTTCACTGTGGGGCCTGCAAACATGATGAGCTGTTATTCTTGTAGCTATGTGATGTGACCCGGCAAAAGGGATTTTGCAGATGTAACTCAGGTTACTCTGAGTTGGCTAACATTGAGCTGGTCAAAGGGGAGATTATCCAGGGGAGCCTCACCTAATCGTACAAGCCCTTTAAATCTGGGTCTAGAGGTCAGAGACCAGAAGTTAAAAGGTCAAAGTGGTAGGGCTGACTTGCAGGACATTCTGTGTTTGAATACAGAGAGGCTGCATGGTAGAGAATATAGATGGCCCCCAGGGCTAAGCATGGTTCTTGGCTGTCAGACAGCAAAGGAGCAGGGATCTCAGTCCAACAGCTATAAGGAGCTGAATTCTGTTGACAACAGGAATGAGCCTGGAAGAGGATTCATCTTCAGTGCTTTAAGAACTCAGGCCAGCTGACACCTTCATTTCAGCTTTTCAGACCCTGAGCAGAGGACCTGTGTGAGTTGTAACCAGTCTTCTGACTTACAGAACCATCGGCTACTAACTGGGTATTATTTTAAGCTGCTAAGTTTGTGATAATTTGTTACACGGCAATAGAAACTATAACCTTAGCATACTGAGAATGCCAGAAAACAAACGGTTAAAAACTAGAAGGAAATTCGGCGCTGACTGGTGCAAGCGAAAGTTCCCCAAGCACAGAGCATGACTTAGAGACTCAACGTCGTGCGTGAAGAGGACTGCCAAGATAAACTCGTTTTATAATAGTATGTTACATTTTCAAAGAATATGCTCAGTAGGTTTTTCTTTGACCTCCAGAGACTTTTAAAGGTGTTGAATCTCTAAATTTGAAGCAATGAGTCAAATAGGTCTTTTGAAAGAAACACAATGTGTGTACTACTTACCATGTTTCCAGCCTTTTTAGATGCTGTGTGGCATATTTATTATACTTTTAATTTGTTTTTCCAAATTAACAATCGGATCCATTGCTTTAACTTTAGAGGTCAGATACTACTTGAAAGCTTATCTAATATAATCTTAAAAAAAGTTTATCCTATTTCCCAGACTACAGATACCTGCAGTTTTGTGTGTGCTATCAGAAAATCAGGTAATATAGTAGGGGAGATGCCAGTGCAGGAAGCTTAGGAGAAGGGGGTGAATGTCTGCCAGGAATTGGAGACATCGATTAAGAGAGGATCATTACTAACTTTGGATAAAAGTTAGTTTATAGGAAGATGAAAAAGAAAGAAACCAAATAGCACATATGGATAAATGCTGCCGAAGAAGGAATAGAAGTAACACCCCATCCTCAAGACTGAGGAAAAGAAAACCCCTAGAAGAAGTCTTAACTCCTGTAGAAAGCAGAAGACATTTTCAGGAAATGCCGAGATTCTCAAAATAATATACTGATGTCTAAAATGTCATTTCCTCATGTCTGATTAGAAGGGAAAAAAAACAAATGATCGACTTGGTAGACAGAAAAAAGTATTTGATAAAATTCAGTACTCATTCTTGATTAAAAAAAAAAAAAAAAACTTTTAGCAAAGTAGGAATAACAAAGGGACTTCCTTGACCTGATTATGGGTATCAAATACAGCAAACTTCTTTTTCAACAGTGACACATTAGAAGCATTCCCTTTAAAATCAGGACAAGGCAAGGCTGTCTACAAGCACCACTTCTATTCATCATTGTACCAGAAGTCCCAGTGAGCAAGTAAGAAAGAAAGAAAGAAAGAAAGAAAGAAAGATAAAACAGATATGAAGTCCATGTTGTAGCAACAAACAGCTAGAAAACCCAATTCTTTAAAAAGGTACTATTTTTAAAAATCCAGAAAAATAGTCCATGTCAATATCTTTGCATCTATCCAAGAAATATGTCTAACAAAAGGTATATGTGCAAGCCACACCAGAAAAATATTAGAAAACTTTATTTAACTTCGTTAAAGTGCTCACTTTGGCAGCACATATACTAACATTGGAACGATACAGAGAAGATTAGCATGGGCCCTGTGCAAAGATGACATGCAAATTTGTGAAACGTTCCATATTTTTCCTTGCTTTTTCCTTCCTGCCTTTTTTCTTTCCTTCTCTTGGTACCTGCTCATGGTTATGAAGCTTTCAAAGTAAAGAACGCGAAGTACCCCCCGAGTACTACCAGTGGGTACGAAAAAAAAATCATTAAAGAAGACCTAAATGAAGAGACAACTTATTGTTACATTGTGTGTATGTGTGTGTGTGTTTATGGATGCATCCATGTATGTGTACATGCACAGAATAAGGTCTAGAGGTAAAAGCAACAAAATGTTAATATTTGTTATCATTAAATGGTGGAAGTAGACATTTTTCTTTTTGAGTTAATATCGTCTAATTTTTATCATAAACCATAAATTGTATTTGTTATGTGGTAGTTAAAATTTGCATGAAGTGTATCTCACTGCAGCTTACTTGCTTGCTTGCTTATTTATTTATTTAAGATAGAGTCTTGGTCTGTTGTCCAGGCTGAAGTGCAGTAGGGCAATCTCAGCTTACTGCAACCTCCACCTCCCAGGTTCAAGTGATTCTCATGCCTCAGCCTCCCAAGTAGTGGGATTACAGGTACCTGCTACTACCCCTGGCTAATGTTTTCGTATTTTTAGTAAAGACAGGGTTTTGCCATGTTGACCAGGCTGCTTTCAAATGCCTGACCTCGAATGATCGGCCCACCTTGGCTTCCCAAAGAGCTGGGCTGGACACTGTAGCTATCCTTTAAAAACTTAATTAATAGATTTTATTTCTTAGAGCAGGTATTTTTAAATTTTTCTTCTGGGAATTTACTTCTATAAATAAATCACAAGACATTTTTTCTCTTTTAAAAAGTTACATATCTTTACCTTCTTCATCAAGGCTGCTAAAACTTTGTCCTTCAGTCAGCAAATCTCGCTTCTCATCCTTCCATTCCTGGCTAATTGAGGACACAATCTCCTGCGACGTCGCCTTTAAGGCGGCGATGGAATTGCATCGTTTCTTAGAAGGTGAGGCCTTCAAAGCTAGACAGAAAGGAAAAGGACAAATAAAATATATTTGTTGTAAAATCACATTAATATTTCATTTAAAAGTGAATATTCTATTATTTATTAACATTTTAGTCATTATTTGAGTAGAAGACAAGAGGCTTATTTTATATATATGGAAAGGGAGATGAAATTGTCTGTTTCATCTGATGAATACAATGAATGAGCTATATTATTTGTCCAAAATGACTTGACTTAAATCAGAACATCCTAGAGCAAATTAAGAGTTAAAATTTCTGACCAGATTTTGAAATAAAGTCTTACTTGAGGTAAAATTCAAATGTTACACTGCTAAAGAATCATTTTCCCCTCTCTAAACAATGTTTTTCTAGTGCTGGGAGGAGGATGGGTGGGTTGATAAGTGCAAATGGTAAAGTATTGAGAATTCTCACGACCCTGGTTTTATTAACTTGGAAATGGGAATTTCTAAACACGCCAAAGTTTAATCTAACGCTCATGTTGCCCAATTTAGCCAAGTTCTGGTTGCTTTTTTCTTTCTGCAAATTTCCACTGAAATTTCCTACCCTTTAGGTCTTTTCTAAGTCATGGTTTTATGTCAGACACATAATTCACTCCCAATCTTTGTCTAAACAGCAGTCTACAACTTCAGAAGTGTGTTGGGAACCTGAACTAATGAAAATGTACTTCACCATCAATCATGCTTGCTGAAGCCTGGGACTTCACGGAGGACATGTCCATAGAAGCTGCTTAAGTAGCAGCCGGGCCATCCTTATTCACATTCACTCTTTGCTGCAATAATTCTTCTTGGCTTAATATCGCTAGAGAATTTCATTGGAAAGAGAGGGAGAGGGAAGTTGAGGCCAGTTTATGCTTTCCCTTGATGTGTTTTTGGCAGCATCTCTCTTCCTTTTTAACGTTTGCATAAAGGGGTAACCTGACAGTAAATGTATTAGAGTAATTGTGTTTAGCCTTGGGAATCTCAGAGCTTAGATTCCAGCTCATCTAGGGCCTTCCCAGAGGCAGCCTGCAAGAACTTAATTGGAGAAGGACTTTGGGAGACACAAATGAGGGAAGAATGGAGGGCAAGCTCTCCACGTAAAGAGAAGGGAAGGTTTATTTGTCCCTGGAGCAGCCTTAGAATCATAATATCATCATCCTAATAACATTTGCGGAGGGCTTTAGAATCTCGAAGCTAACATTCACATTGCATATCTCAAATTATCCACATGTATGAGGAAGAGGAAGGCCTTTTTTAAGGTCCAAAAACCGAGAATAGAAAGGTTGTGGCTTGCCCAAGGTCACAGAACTAGAAAGCATGAACCTCAGATGTCTTTCTTCTTAAGTTGTTTACTTGGTGGTTCATTTTCTAGCTCTTTAGCGTTCTATTTTCTGGTTAAACTGAGGGGGAAAAAAAGATAAGCCGTGAATTTGTTCTTCTTTGAGGGGAAGAAATTTTTGAATGTTTAAAAAATAAGCCATGTGTACCTTAATTGTCCACTCTCTCAAACGGTGGTTACACTTGTTTTACAAGGATGAAGTCACTTTTCACACACTGGCCTCTGCCTTAATATTCTATCTGCTAACATTTATTTATTTATTTATTTATTTGTTAAATTTTACTTTAAGTTCTGGGATACATGTGCTGAATGTGCAGGTTTCTTACGTTGGTATACATGTGCCTTGGTGGTCTGCTGCACCTATTAAGCCACCATCTCTATCTGCTAACTTTTATAGACCTTTAATAAACTCCTGTCTTTCAGTACAGTATTTTAAAACTTCTAAATCAGAGTAACTCAGATGTGGGTTGGAAACCACTAGGTATCTGAGACCCTTTCAGAACAGCTGTGATGTTAAAATTATTTTCATCATCATCATAAGACATTATTTGCCTTTTTCACTTTCATTCTCTCACATGTGCAGAGTTTTCCAGATGTTACATGACCACAGATTGAATTCAGAAGCAGATGTGAGACTCCAACTTAGCTTCTATTAAGCCAGACATTAAGGATTTCAGAAAAAAATGTAAAACAATAACATTGTTCTCACTAAATTATTTGTGGAAGATAAAATTATATTTTGTAATTATTTATGTTAAAATAGACTGATGTTAACATACAATTTTTTGTTACCTGGTAAGAATTAATAAATATTTTAAATTTTTCTCAATTTTAATTTCTAATACGTGACATACAGATAGCTATCACTCATATAAATGAAAGCTCTTTGGTGTCCTCAATAATTTTTAAGAGTGTAATGTGGCTCTGAGACCAAAAGGTTTGAAAACTACTTTTCTACATTACAGTTCTTAGGTTAATGTTATTTCTCTAAACCAAGAAACAGCTATGATCAAAAGGTTTTCGGCAGCATCAAGGAAATGCGATAAGGATAAGAGTCTTGTAATAAGGGGAAGACACTCAGGAGAGCTATACTCATGGCATTTTGTGGAGTGAGGGCCAGAAGCCTGGAAAAAGAAGGAACTCTTTGTTCTTTATCAGCATCACACATAATGAAGAGCAGAGAAGACCGGAAAACAAACCTCTGCCAAGACCACATAGCACCACAACAAAGAGTTCACTTTTGTCTCAAGTGGTGAGTTTCTTCCTTAAAGGAATGATCTCACTCAGCAGATAAGGGCTTGGACTTTGCAGAAATTCAATTCTCAGGGTCTCAGGATCTCTTTTGACTGGGTAACCTTGAAAGCTGGTTTGAGTGGCTGCTTGCTTCCTTTTGTGTGGCAGAAACGCCTGGATTTGTCTGGGGCTCAACCATGGCTGACCATAGCTATCCCGTGCCCATTCCCAGCCTTGCATTCTGCCACTCAACTGCCTCAATGTTCACTTTTCAGCTCACCCTTCTGCCGTATTGAAACCTATCATGTTCATTCTGCCATTAGGCCTTTGCACATACTATTCTTTCTCCTGGAGATGCCCTTCCTGTCTCTCTTCTTAATGAACTCTGGGTTACGTTTTCAGGATTTAGTTGAAACATATTTTTCTCTGTGAGCTCTCTTTTGGAAGAACTCGTCTTTTTTTCTCTTATTTCTCTCCGTGTACTTGTAGTAGCATATGCAGTAATATTAGCAATTGTTTCATTATAGATCTGTCATTTGTTTCAATCCCTGACTCAAAACACACTATTAAATTATTGAGGGAGGAACTAATCAATATTTTAAAAGCTTTCTATGTCATCAGTGTTTAGTGTAGTGCTAGATATATAATAGGTGCACCAGTGTTTGTTGAATAAATGCATTATTCTGAAATTTAGAACAGTCAATTTTCTTTAACAAATAATTTAATTCTTATATTCTATTGAGGAAGCTAAGCTTTAGTACTTTAGATAAATTATTTGTATGGAGAATTTCAGTGAAGTTTTAACATAACGGTGACTAATATTTCCAGGAAATATTATAGGATTTTGTAGACATTATTACACTGGCAGCATGACTCACTTGTGGGTGGGATGAAGGGATTTTAAAAGGTTAGAAAACATTGACTTAAAAAAAAAAAAAAACTTGAAGACCAGGTACTATTTTCTTGGTGGGAGGAGAGTATGCCTTTACACATTAAGAGCTTTGAATTAACCACAGTTGATGAAACATCTTCAAGTTGTGTTTTAAAGTGTCTACTTTTCTAATAATTTAATTACCCTTTAAAATGGTGGTATTAGATGAAAATTCCATTCATTCATTGGATTATGCATCAAAAAATGATTGAGTGCCTATTGCATGCCAGGAAATGTGCTAAGGGAAAGTTAAGGACTTTGTGCACTAAGAAATCTGTGGACGTTTATTTCCTTTAACATTATTATTATTATTATTATATTATTATTAGCATGGAAGGGTTTTTAACAGAAATCGGCAAGAGCAGATTTCTATTTTAAACTGATTCTCTGGATGCAGTGTGTGAGGGAAAATTGGATTGAAAGGGTACACAACAGGAGGCAAAGAGACCTGTTTAGGGCTACAACTTTATGTAAAATAATAATAATAAAACCTGCAAACTAGGCCAGGCGTGGTGGCTCATGCCTGTAATCCCAGCACTTTGGGAGGCCAAGGCAGGCAGATCACCGGAGGTCAGGAGTTTGAGACCAGCCTGATCAACATGGAGAAACCCTCTCTGTACGTGGTGGTGCATGCCTATAATCCCAGCTACTCAGGAGGCTGAGGCAGGAGAATTGCTTGAACTTGGGAGGGGGGAGTTGCAGTGAACCGAGACTGTGCTGTTGCAGTCCAGCCTGGGCAACAAGAGCGACACTCCATCTTAAAACAAAACAATAACCCTGCAAACCAAAAAACACAGTGGCTGAATCAGGAGAGGTACTGTGGGAGAAGGGGATGCACTCCTGATTCTGCAGGGTGAGGACTGATAGGTGTTGCTGAAGGACTGCACGTGGGCAATAAGCAAAAGGAAGTGATCAAGGGATGATGCCAGCATGCTTGCTGGGTAACTGAGTGGATTGTGGTGGCCTTCTGTAAGACATGGACCCAGAAGGAGAGGCAGGCTCTGGGGTGGTAAGCAGCTAAATTCAATTTTGGGCATGCTGGGCTTGGAGAATCCAGTAGATGCTTAAGTTGGGAGAGTGGATAGGCAAGGAGACTTGCTAGAAGTGTGGGGAATAAGTTGCAAGTACACAGAGGGTAACTGAACCCTTGGGAGAATGAGGAATTACCTAGATAGTGTTGTATAAGAAGAGACCAAATCAGAGGCTGGACCCTGAGGAACACCCACAATATAAGAGTAAGTAGGGAAGAAAAGCTTCCAAAGGATACCCAGGAGCAGACGAGAGGCTGGAAGGCAACCAGGGAGGTCCTGAGTTACAAAAGACAAGTGAAGAGAGCATTTCAGAGAGAACTGATGTCAGCGGTCTCACATGCTGGAGAGTTTGAAGAAGACTGAAAGTGGCTGGGCACGGTGGCTCACACCTGTAATCCCAGTACTTTGGGAGGCAAAGGTGGGCGGATTATTTGAGGTCAGGAGTTTGAGACCAGCCTGGCTAACATGATGAAACCTGATCTCTACTAAAAATACAAAAGTTAGCTGGATGTGGTGGTGCATGCCTGTCGTCCCAGCTACTCAGGAGGCTAAGGCAGGAGAATGACTTGAACCCAGGAGGCGGAGGTTGCAGTGAGCTGAGATCGCGTCACTGCACTCCACTCCAGTCTGGGCAATAGAGCAAGATGGCACCAAAAAAAAAAGAAAAAAAAAAGTCTGAAAGTTGTTCAATGGCTTGAGCAATGATTGTTGATTACCACAGAAAGAACATTTTGGTGGAGTGGCGGGATCAAAAGCCACTGGAGTATACTGAATAGTGACAAGAAATAAAAAAGTGAGACAGCAAGTGCATCCAATGCATCCAACTCGTGAAGGAGGAAAAAGATACACCAGGAACTTGAGGGAGACAGGTGTTGAGGAGGTTTGTTTTTATGATTAAGAGGATGAGCAGACAGAAGGATGAGGTGTGGAGCCAGAAGAGGGAGTGAATGGTTAAATTACCCTGTAGTGGAGGTAACCTCTGCAGGGATCTGTCCTGGACCTTAAGGAGATTAGACCCATATACATGTCTTGGTATCTTCATCCATTTAACAAATAAAAATTACAATATGTGCACCCTCCAAAACCACACCCCTTCACTAGGTGCAATCAGCTTACATTTAAATAAAGGAGACAGGCATTAAATAAGTAAAACCTATAGCATATTAGATCATGATAAATGTTAGAAAACATAAAGGAAGGAAAGTAGATAGGAATCATCTTTCCCATGGTAGCAGGACGATAAGCATTATCATTACTGTCTACCCAATAAACAAAAGTGGTAAAGAATTTGACTTTCTTTAAAGTGAAATATCTAATTCAATATGTGATATTAGGACAACAATTAACTACTTGGGAAAAAACCAGGTTAGATCTCTCTCACTTCATACACCAAACTAAAAACACAGATAAAATTTAAAAAAATTTTAAAAATCTACAAAATGTAAAAGAAAAATATGGTGAACACTTATCTGATTCTTCAATGGTGAAATCTTTTGTAAGCATAAAAGGCTTAAATAAAAATAATCCTACATTTATAGGATGTAAAATATAAGATGGTAACACTCCCCAAATTCAACACAATCTTTAGCAAACTACCAGCTGCCCTTTTTCCCAAAGAAATTAACAAATTGATTATAAAATGCATAGGGTCATACAAGGGACACAGAATAGCCAAAACAATCTGAAAAGAGTATTTGAAGGACTCACATTTCTTGATTATGAAACTTAGCAATACAAACCAGAATTAATCAACAAAGAATGGTACTGGTATGAAGGTAGGCATATTGATCAATAGAACGGATGTGAGAGTCAAGAGGTAAATCCTTATACTTGTGGTCAACTGATTTTCTTTTCTTTTTTTTTTTTTTTTTTTTGGTCTGGTTTATGTTCTCTCATGATAATTTTCAATAAGAGTGCCAACATAATTCAATAGGAGAAAGAACAGGATTTTCAATAAATGATGGTGAAACAACCGGCTAACCACATATGAAAGAATGAAGATATACTCTACCTCATATCATAAACAAAAAAATTCAATCAGAATGAATCACAAACCCAAATGTAAGAGCTAGAACTATAAAACTCTGAAAAGAAAACATGAGAGTAAATCTTCATGACCTTGAGTTAGGCAATGCTTTCTTAGATCACACCAAAAGCACCAGCAACAAGGGGGAAAAAATTGGATATCAAAATTAAAAAATTTTGTGCTTCAAAAGATACTATCCAAAAAGTAAAAAGACAACCCACAGAATGAAATAAAATATTTGCAAATCATACATCTGATAATGGGCTTGTGTCCAGAATATATAAAGAACTCTTAAAACTCAATAATAAAAAGACAACTCAACTAAAAATGGGCAAAGGGTCTGAGTGAGCATTTCTCCAAAGAAGATATAAATTGCCAATGAGCACATACAAGATGTTCACTATCATTAGTCATTAGAGCAATGCAAATCAAAACCACAGTGAGATACTACTTCATCCCTACCAGGATGGCCAAAAGAAAAAAAGACAGGCAATAACATATGTTGGTGAGGATGTAGAGAAACTCTGGAATCCATATACATTGCTGGTGGGACTGTAAAATGATACAGCTGCTTTGGAAAAGAGTTTGACAGTTCCTCAAAATGTTATCAGAGAGTTGCCATCTGACCCAGCAATTCCACTTCTAGGTTTACATTCAGAAGAAATGAAAACACATGCCCATGTAACACCTTGTCCATGCATGTTCCTAACAGCATTATTCAGAAAGCCAAATGGAAGCATCCCAAATACCCATCAACTGATGAATAAACAAAATATGGTATATCAATATAATGGAATATTCTGCAATAAAAAGAATAAACTACTAATATATGCTACGATGCTACATATAAACCTCAAAAATATTCTGTTAAGTGAAAACAGCCAAACTGAAAAGTTTACATTACATGATTTATGGGAAAGGCCAGAGTAGGCAAAACCATAGAGACAGAAACCAAATTAGTAGTAGCCAGTGGCTGGGAAGACGACGGAATGCGGAGTGACTGCTACTGGGTATGGGGTTTCTTTTTGGGGTAGTAAAAATGTTCTAAAATTAGAAAATCGCTGAGCTTGGTGGCTCATGCCTATAAACCCCAGCACTTTGGGAGGCCAAGGCGGGTGGATCTCCCGAGGTCAGGAGTTTGTGACTAGCCTGGCCAACATGGTGAAACCCCATCTCTACTAAAAATACAAAAATTAGCCAGGTGTGGTGGCGGGCACCTGTAATCCCAGCTATTTAGGAGGCTAAGAAAGGAGAATCACTGGAACCCGGGAGGGAGAGGTTGCAGTGAGCCAAGATAGTCCCATTGCACTCCAGCCTGGGCAACAGAGTGAGATGACATCTCAAAAAAATTAATAATAAAATAAAATAAAATTAGAAAATTGTGATGATTATATAACTTTGTGAATATATTAAGAATCATAGGTCTGTACACTTTAAAAGGGTAAAGCTTACAGATCTTAATTATATCTCAATAAAGCTGTTTTTTAAAAAATAAATAATAAAATCAAAATTTAAAAATGTCAATAGATTTGATAACCTAAGAGTTAAAAAAAAAAAAACTTGTTCCATTAAAAACCTGATAAATTTTACAAACTGGAAAAATCTGCAACACATGTCATATTTTATGAAATTGAAGATAACATTGATTGTACCATTAACTTATATGCCCCGAAGAAAAATGAACCTTCCAAGATGGGGAGTCTCCTAAGGGAGGCTCGCCAAAGCTGGAACATTAAAGGGCTGCCTCCTCCAAAATGCACCATGGGCTGCAGGAAATCCCATGTTTTTTCAGCCTTGGCACAGGGCGAGTGTTTGACTTTCATTAATTAAAAAATCTCCAATAAATATTATGAGGAAAACTTGTCTTATTTAAATATAAATCATGAACATTCTTTTTCAGTTGTATGTTAGCTAAATTATCACGTTTTAGTTTATGAAATTGGACCACAGAATAGCAAAATGATAAAATAACTACATGTAGGGTTATTTTCTCCTTTCACATACCTTAAAATCTTATCACAGATATGACATATTCATTGCAAAAATTTAATAAATATCAATATAACGGAAAATAAGGGCCCACATACTTCCTTGATCTGGAATAAGCATTGTTAGCTTTGGGTTTAATTTGCTTTTCTTTTTCTAGTTACTTGAGGTTTAAAGTTAGGATATTGAATTCAGATTTTTCTCCTTTTTTTTTAAGGTAGGAGTTTACTCCTTTTTTTTTTAAGGTAGGAGTTTACACCTATAAATTTTTCTCTGAGCACTGCCTTCACTGCATCCCATAAATTTTTGGTATATTTGTTTTTATTTTCATTCATCTCCGAGGTTTTTCTAATTTCCTTGTGCTTTCTTCCTTAACTCATTGCTAAAGAGTATGTGGTTTAATTTTCAAATATTTATGAAGTTTTCCCTGTTTATTGATTCATTCCATTGTGATCAGAAAAGATACTTTTATGATTTCAATAATTTTAAATTTATCGAAACTTGTTTTGTGGCTGAACATAAGATCTATGTTAGTGAATGTCCCATGAGAATAACTGCTATTTTATATATTCCTTTAGAATTCTGCTGGGCATTCAAGGTGTACAGACTGATTACCACATATAAGGTAAATAAATCTACATTTAACAAACTAAATGTGCTGCTAATACATCATTTTTTATTGGTTGCATACTATTCCATTATTTGACCATATCATAATATATTTAACCAGTATGTTACATGATTGGACATTTAGATAGCTTCTAAATTTTTTTCCACCACTAAACAGGACTCTGGTGATATGGCAACAATAAACACCTGACTGGCATGCTTAACCATATTTACTAAGTGATTACTGCTGCAGGGAAAGAAATAGCATTAATTCTTCCAATAAAAATCTTACAAAGATACATAATGAAATTAGCAACTAAAAGTAAAAAAAAGTTCATACGAATCTTACCTTGAATTTTCTTGAAAACTCTGGAATTCATGAACTTTAGAAATCTGTCTGCATAAAAGCTTGGTCTATGAACGGAAACAGTGTCCTGAAGAGACAAAAACCAGGATCACAGGGTTATCTCTTACTGTTCATCTCAAGTCAGAAGACAGATCTATGGAACTGGTTCTCTGTTGGCCAACATTCTTAACCAGAGGTGGCCCAGAGATAGAGAAGAATGCCCTGTGTCCCATAGGGCCCAGGAGTCTGGAGCTGGGGGAGGAGGGCACAGACTCAATTGGAACAAATATTCTAGACACTTAAGGCCAAACCAAGCAGGGGAGAGTTATCAAAAAAAACTCTGCTACATAAATCAAAACAGCTGTCCTTATTCATAACATTGTGTCCCAGGAGGAGTTTTTAAGTTCTTTTTTAACACACAGGCAATCAGTGCATCAAGTGTCATCTGCAATGAAGGGTAACTCCCTTAATTGTGAACAAAAATTAGGGACATAAACAAAACTATCCTAAAGTAAGGATGACATTTAAGGTACAACAAATGCTCTAGTTTCATCTCCTAATAACAAGGTGAGGAGATGCTAGAAGGATTCCTAGGAGACAAGGCTAACAGATGACTTCTTTGCACTGAATTATCTGCTGATTGCATAGAGTTGAATTGAGTTAAATTGTTAATTCCATTCTTCTCTCATGCTTGGCAGGAGTCTTTAGGGCTGAAGGGTCATATGATTACAAATCCAGGAAAGGGGATGGATGAGGGAGATAATTTTCTATGTTTATTTAGTAATCATTTATCCAAATCATGTATCCAAGCTGTATACTTGTGGACACAGTAAATTTGCTTCTACAGTGCTTCACTTTGAATTCAGGTTTAACGGACTCCAATATGGAAATTTCTAAAAATTTAAGATTAGATACTACAAAGCATCTGCAGTGGTGTTGGAAAAAAAACATTTTGGACCAGCAGTCAGGAGACCTGGTGTTGGTTGTTAGCTCTAACTTTAAAAGGCTAGATATTCCTGGGAGAAGCCAGAGTTTCAGGCCCTCAGTTTCTTCATCTGTGAAATAGGCTGTTACAGAAAGCATATTATATTCCCTTGCAGTTAGGATAATCTATAATACTATAATTAGCATGTTATGAAGGTCACAGTTGCCAGATTCCTCTTTGGTCACATTATAATGGTCATCTATACTCAGTGAGGTTTTAGGTATGGTGGGAAATTTATCACTAGTTTTTCTTTTCTTTTTTTTTTTTGAGACTGAGTCTTGCTCTGTCAACCCAGCTGGAGTGCAGTGGCACAATCTCAGCTCACTGAAACCTCCACTTCCCAGGTTCAAGTGATTCTCCTGCCTCAGCTTCCTGGATAGCTGGGGTTACACACACGCACCACCACACCCAGCTAATTTTTGTATTTTTAGTAGAGGAGGTTTGACCATGTTGGCCAGGCTGGTTCGAACTCTTTTCCTCAAGTGATCTGCCCTTCTCGGCCTCCCAAAATTCTAGGATTATAGGCATGAGCCACCATACCTGGCCCCACTACATCTTTTAAGATGTACACTTCCTGGTATCCCGGCAGTATCTGCCTGAAGCGAACACATTCTTTCCAACAAGCGCAGTAATTTAGAAATATCAGTAGAAGGCAACAGCCTAAGGGGTATCCATAGAGGATTAAAGTTCAGCCCTTGCCTACACAGAGAGGTTACATTGCTGTTCTCTTTGGCATGAATAAATATTGTTTAAGTAAGAGCCATGTCTGAAAACAAACAAAAATAAGTTTATGATATATAACCAGCACAGAGATTTTTATTTAAAATAAACTAAAAAATAGATGATAGATTTTATTTTATTTTTTGAGATCGAGTCTCACTCTGTCACCCAGGCTGGAGTACAGTGGTGTGATCTCTGCTCACTGCAACATCCACCTCCTGGGTACAAACGATTCTCGTGCCTCAGCCTCCCCAATAGCTAGGATAACAGGTGCACACCACCAGATCCAGCTAATTTTTAAATTTTTAGTAGGGATGGGGGTTTCACCACGTTGGCCAGGCTGGTCTCGAACTCCTGACCTCAAGTGATCCTCCTGCCTCTGTCTCTCCCCAGAGTGTTGGGAATACAGGCATGAGCCACCACAACCAGGTGGAAGATAGGTTTTAAATAGACAAAGGTGGGACAAGACTAGATGATTCAGATCCATCTGGTAACAGGAAATTGAAATGGTCTCAGAAAACAGGAGAGGAGCGGAATGAGGGTATTCCCTCTCTCCCCTTCTGCGTTCAATATACTATGTACGCAGTTCCTTCCTTTCTCAGCTGGAAGGAAACAAAATTAACCTACCATATTGACCTCCTTTCAGAGGAGGAATTTTTGATCTGAATAAGACTGAGTTTAATTCTTTTTAATTAAAAATTTTTCTTTTTAGATACAGGGTCTCGCTATATTCAAGACTGCTGGACTTGAACTCCTGGGTCAGGTGATCATCCTGCTCCAGCCTCTTGAGTAGCCAGGACTACCATCACATGCCCTTATATCCAGCTTAGAGGTTAATTCTTGGAAATAAAGGTGTGAACCTGTTGTTTAAAAGTACATTCTGACTAAAGTCAGTCCTTAGCCTCTGGACAAAATGTAGATCTTTCATGCCGAAAGATTTTTAACAGTCTTCCACAGAACAGAGAAATTATGTGTTCTATTTCAAAAAAGAAGAATATCATCTATAATTTATTCTCTTTCAAAAGAAGGTATCTGCTAACATCTAAAAAGGAAATGTATGACCAAATCCTTGACCAATATATTCTTTGGAATTGCGACTTCAAGTTATTAACTTAGGCCAATAAATGTTGTTAGTAGCAGGAAGTAGAAATCTAATGTCTAGATGGGACTGACTGCGTGTGTGTGCGTGTGTGTGAAAGAGAGAGACAGAGACAGAGAGCACAGGAGAAAGAAGAGAGAAAAAAGGGGGAAACTGCTCTTTGATAACTTGTTTTTTTCTTCAGTTACATCAATTAAGACATCCCCAGCCAGGCATGGTGGCTCACACCTGTAATCTCAGAACTTTGAGAAACTGAGGCAGGTGGATCACCTGAGGTCAGGAATTTGAGACCAGCCTCGCCAACATGGCAAAACCCCATCTCTACTAAAAATACAAAAATTAGTCAAGTGTGGTGGCACAGGCCTGTAGTCCCAGCTAATCAGGAGGCTGAGGCAGGCGAATCACTTGAACCTGGGAGGCAAAGGTTGCAGTATGCCAAGATCGTGCCACTGCACTCCAGCATGGGCAACTGAGACTCCATCTCAAAACAACAACAAAAAAATCCTGAGGCAGCCAGCATGCATAAATATTTATGTATAAATCTACACCAATTAAAAAGTTTTTACTTTCTGTGTCTATATTTGTTAGGCATTGTGTTGAACACTGACATGCATTATTTTGCCCCAACCTCACACTAGGCAGGTGTCATTACTATCCCCTGGGTACAGGTGAGAAACAAGAGTAAGAGGCCAAATAACCAGCACTGCTCCTGGTCACATGGCTAGTTCAGCAGTGAATGCAGAGTTCTAATCCAGGCTGTCCACCATCAGAGTCATGGTGCACTCTTCCTGCAGCTTGGTTGTGTGAAAACTTCATTTCATTACCGATCATCTCAACAAAAGAAGTCCTCTCTCAAAGTTAGGTCCTTTGGGTTTCACAAAGACACAGATACCATTTTGTTTTTCTGACCACTAGGCTGGATGTCATATATTTTAAATAGCTATTCAAATTTATGTTGTCTTTATTCTCAGATTTGAACCAATCTATTAGCCTAAGATTCTGAGTTTATAAAGACTGTTCTTTCGTTTCCTCTTAGAGTCTAGCAACACAGTTTCCCACACATACTCTGAAGTCTCTGAGAAAGCAGAAATACGTACAGTGTAATAATGAAAATAAGTCACTTACCCCATCATAAACAAGAGCTTTCCAGGAATGTTCTAACTTCTTCATTAACCTAAACATAAATGGAAAATCTCATTTGGTGATTTTTCAGAACATTTTGCAGATTGATTTTGAAATAATATAAGACCACTCCCAAACTTCTTACCTATATGATTGTAGAATATCAATAATGCCCATAAATAAGAGTAGTTTTTCTCCCCTATGGCTTTTAGCTGGAATGCCCCCCATTCTGTTGATAGAGCAAAGAGAAAATATTTGATTACATAAGAATAGGAAGTTAAAAAATCATTTCTAACAAATAGACTGAAAATAAAAATAGACAATTTTTAAGAACTCTGGGCTATTGCCCAGTCATTTTTTGTTCGTTCTTTTGTTTTTGTTTTTTTGGGCATCAGTTAAGGTCATCCTGGGAATTCAGAATGATGTATTAATACTTCCCCACAAAGGAGAATAATACCATAGCTGCCGACTCTGAAGAGTTAGATGGGAGGAATCCAAACTTATTTCTACTTTAAAACCATGAGCAAAAATTTTTAGAGCATTGTAAAATATTCCTTTTAAAAAATGCAATACTTTTTTCTGATCAAAAGAGTAATGTAGGCCGGGCGCGGTGGCTCAAGCCTGTAATCCCAGCACTTTGGGAGGCCGAGGTGGGTGGATCACGAGGTCGAGAGATCGAGACCAACCTGGTCAACACGGTGAAACCCCGTCTCTACTAAAAATACAAAAAATTAGCTGCGCATGGTGGCGTGTGCCTGTAATCCCAGCTACTCAGGAGGCTGAGGCAGGAGAATTGCTTCAACCCAGGAGGCGGAGGGTGCGGTGAGCCGAGATTGCGCCATTGCACTCCAGCCTGGGTAACAAGAACGAAACTCCGTCTCAAAAAAAAAAAAAAAAAAAAGAGTAATGTATATTTACTTTTAAAAACAAAATACAGAAAAACACAAAGAAAAAGTATAATCAAACAGCTATTCCTAGAATGCAAAGATAACTACTAACATCTAGTACACTTTTCCTGTGTGTGTGTGTGTGTGTGTGTGTGTGTGTGTGTGTGTGTATTTAGTCCAGAAAGGGTATTATTTATTATCAGGTTTTATAATCTGATTTTTTTTGCTTGCTAAATTATAAACATTTTCTTATATTCAGGCTAATATGATTTTTAATAGCTTTATAGTATTTATCCATATTAATATAGGATAATTTAACTGATTATTAGACATTTGGATTGATTTACAAGAAAAGACTTTTCAAAAAATATTAATATGTGTTAATTTCCTTTACAAAAGTGAAATATGCCCATAGTTTAGTCATTGTTGGAGACTTCTGGAAGGCAGGCACTTATGGTGGTGGAAAATGGTTTCTTTCAGTCTTCTTGCTCAGCTAGGACACATACTTGATGAAGTCTATCATTTCAATAACTTACTACGGTTGCAATTGTCTCTGCTAGTCAATATGCACTTTATCCATGCAAATTAATCCTGTAGTTACTACACATCTGGCTGAGGCGAGAGACCACATCTGCCAGGGTGCAAGACTAGAACAACAGAATCGCCTTAGGCAGATAAAAAGCTCTGAATTGCAAACATCATTCTTATTGTGTATTTGCTTAAAACATCTTTATTCAGGCAGGGTGCAGTGGCTCACACCTATAATCCCAGCACTTTGGGAAGCCAAGGCAGGTGGATCACTTGAGGCCAGGAGTTAGAGACCAGCCTGGGCAACGTGGTAAAATACCTCGTCTCTACTAAAAATATAAAAATTAGCCAGGTGTACTGGTGCATGTCTGTAATCTCAGTTGCTCGAGAAGCTGAGGCAGAATTGCTTGAACCCGGGAGGTGGAGGCTGCAGTGAACTGAGATGGCACCACTGCACTCCAGCCTGGCTGACAGAGCAAGACTCTGCTTCAAAAAAAAAACAAAAAATAAACAAATAAACAATAATACATGTTTATTCACATTCAAAGTTTATTCCTTCCTCTTGTGGTGAATGTTTTAAATATGTAGTTAATGGGGAAGAAAACATTTTCAGCCATTGTTAAAATAAATGGAGCCATTTGAAAAAAGAAACGAAGTGAGTGAAGGAGTAATAACTGGAGAAACTGCCACTCATCTAGTTGATCCTTAGATGAACAGAAATGGAGACCAGTTTAACCCATTCTAGCACCAAGTAGGAATTCATTCCTAGAGTCCCACCCTAAGGTGAATGTGACTGTCTATAATTACCCAGTGATGTGGGGTGCCACAATCAAGAGGGTGGGTGGGTATGTGGCTGCACTTACGTGTCTGGGTTCTCCGTGATTATCCCATCTCCAGGTTTCCCTGGACCCTGGATAGATTCCATGGCTGTTGAGTAGAGAACCTTCTGCATCCCAGGTCGCTTAGCATCAGGCATATTTTGTGAGTTCTCCTCCTCTTTCTCTTTGATGGAATGGTCAAGGAAGTGAATTCCCAACAGAAGGCTATAGTCCATGATCTTGAAGCTTTCCAGCACCTGAATGAGAAAAAGAACCAGGAAGCCAGTCAACCCAAAGGCCTGTTCATCTCATCTACTCAGAATCAGAGAGCTCTCGATATGCCAACACACAGCTCCTGTTACCCCTCCCAGCAGGGTAGCTGAACGATGAAGAATAAAAACAAAAACACTTGAGGTTATTACTAGGCCACATGCAGGAAGGATTATTACAATGGCTCCAAGACGGGAATCTTATGCAAATCTGACACAAGCACATGTTTTCTCAACCTTCCACAAAATTTCCGCTAATAGCACAGATGGAGGATTTTCCACATGCCAGTGCTACAAAGCTCACTTATATTCAATCTTCTCAACAACCCTATGAACTAGGTACTACTGTTATCTGTTTTACAGATGAAAAACTGGAGGCACAGAGAGATAAGGCAATTTGCTCAATATTACACAGCTCGTAAGTGACAGAGACCCAAGCAGTCAACTCCGGTGTCCACACTCTTAAGCAGTAGTGCAGAGAAACCAACAACCAACAGTCTCTACAAGCTGTACCCTCCGCAGCACGAAGACGCAGCTCGAATGTGTCTTTGTCTGAATTCTGTTCTCATAATCTTAAACTTGTGGGAAGTCAGTAGTCTTCTTTTCAAAGCCTGTCTTTCAAAGTTCCCATTTCGTCTTTTAAAAATATATAATCTCTGTAAATTCTGGATATCAGCCCCTTGTCAGATGGGTAGACTGCAAAAATTTTTTCCCATTCTGTTGGTTGCCGATTCACTCTACTGACTGTTTCTTTTGCCGTGCAGAAGCTGTGGAGTTTGATTAGGTCCCATTTGTCTATTTTGGCTTTTGTTGCCATTGCTTTTGGCGTTTTGGTCATGAAGTCCTTGCCTACACCTATGTCCTGAATGGTTTTGCCTAGATTTTCTTCTAAGGTTTTTATGGTATTAGGTCTGATGTTTAAGTCTTTAATCCATCTGGAGTTAATTTTGGTGTAAGGTGTCAGGAAGGGGTCCTGTTTCTGCTTTCTGCACATGGCTAGCCAGTTTTCCCAACACCATTTACTAAAGCAGATCTACAAGAAAAAAACAAACAAGCCCATTCAAAAATGGGCAAAGGATATGAACAGATACTTTACAAAAGAAGACATACAGGAGGCCAACAAACATATGAAAAAATGCTCATCATCACTGGTCATCAGAGAAATGCAAATCAAAACCACATTGAGATACCATCTCACACCAGTTAGAATGGCGATCATTAAAAAATCGGGAAACAACAGATGCTGGAGAGGATGTGGAGAAATAGGAACACTTTTACACTGTTGGTGGGAATGTAAATTAATTCAACCATTGTGGAAGACAGTGTGGCGATTCCTCAAGGACCTAAAAATCGAAATCCCATTTGACCCAGCAATCCCATTACTGGCTATATATCCAAAGGATTATAAATCATTCTACTACAAGGACACGTGCACACGAATGTTCATTGCAGCACTGTTTACAATAGCAAAGACCTGGAACCAACCCAAATGCCCAACGATGATAGACTGGATAGGGAAAATGTGGTACATATACACCATGGAATATTATGCAGCCATCAAAAACGATGAGTTCACGTCCTTTATAGGGACATGGATGAACCTGGAAACCATCATTCTCAGCAAACTGACACAAGAGCAGAAAATCAAACACCGTATATTCTCGCTCATAGGCGGGTGTTGAACAATGAGAACACATGGACACAGGGAGGGGAGCACTACACACTGGGGTCTGTTGGGGGGAAATGGGGGAGGGGCGGGGGGTGGGGAGGTGGGAAGAGATAGCATGGGGAGAAATGACAGATACAGGTGAGGGGACGGAAGGCAGCAAAGCACACTGCCATGTGTGTACCTATGCAACAATCTTGCATGTTCATCACATGTACCCCAAAACCTAAAATGCAATAAATAAAAAAAAGTAAAAAAAAAAAAAAAAAAAAATATATATATATATATATATAATCTCAACAAAGAATAGTATTTCACATTTAATTATCCACTCAGCAGACCATGGGGAGACAAGGGAATTAAAAATAGTTGGATGTAGCCAGACAAAAGAGATGGCAATGCTCTGAAAAGAAAATGACAGGAGACAAGGTCTAGGTACCAGAATGTTGAGATGGCTTCAGGGTATAGGTGAGGCTTTGACACTCAGGACTTTTTTAGATGGAAGAGCAGTGTTCAGGAAGAACGCCTGCAAACTGGGTGTTTTCTTTTATGACAAAGTTCTTTTCCTACTAGTTTGTATATGATTCTCCCCTACAACAGACATTTTTAATACCTGGTATTTCTTACACAAAGCTGCTCAGAAAGTCAAAACAGGCCAGAAAGTAAGACAACCCTGGTGGTCAGAGAAGCTGTCTCTGAACCAACACGAGAAGCTGTTCCTATACTTTACAGGAAACACCTTCAAGGATCCTAGCCTACAGATAATTGTTTAGGGATAAAATAATCCAGAATTTCTTATGCTTCCTGTTCTTGCTCAGCCCAATTGCCTTTTGATATTTATGATATAGAAAAGAGGGGATCAGGCCTGAGGATTCAATTACCTGTGGCTGCCACTTCATGAATGCCACCTGAGAAAAGGCTTTATGAACTGTGGCCTATGGCCTTCAAAAACTGTGGTTATTCTGCACCATGGGCATCTTTGCCATCAATGAGAACTGACAGTGGGCTGCAAATGAGTATCAATTATTCCAGGGTGTTCACCCTTCATCTTTCAAAATACTAAGTCAGTTTCAGAAGGTGTCAGGCAGGAGCTAAGGGTAGAATCTCGCCACAGAAGAGGTTTGGGCTGTGGGATTTTCTAACCCAGGCCACCTCAGAGTGGCCTGATAACAATGTGGAACCAGCCTTCCTAATGGAAGGTGGAGTGATGACAAGACTGGAGGAGGAAGAAAGGAAGCAAAGGGTGACAGGAAATGCTTCTTACCCACTGATCCAGTGCTTGAGTATCAGACCCTTTAGTTGGTTCTCCGTGGAGGTGTATCAGTGCCTCACCACACCATACCGTAACATAGACCATGGGAGAAAAGCAAGACTGTTTTACGTCAGGAGTCACACTCTTAAAAGAAAATGCTAACAGATATTGGATGCTTTCTTCAGAGAGAAACATGTGGTAGAAGGACCTTAATCTTTCTAATCCTCAACCATACTGAAATGATGGCTCAGGCACAGTACCCACCCAGACAGCTTCATCAGCTCTTTACAATGAATGACCATCTGCAGACGCTAATTTCCCCACTCACATTTATCAGTGCTACTGCTTCCTTTCTTGGAGAGACTTGGATAAGGGTGTGGGGAACGGGGGATAAAGAGCTCGGACTCCGTGACCTTAGGCAGGTCACATCATCTCCTTGCGGGTCAGTTTCCTCATCTGTAAAATGGTGACAATATTACCTATCGTAAGAAATGCTTGTAAAAATTAAATGTGGCAAAGCAAGTCAAGTGCTTAGAAAAGTCCCTAGCATAAAGTGCTTAATTAATTGCTAGCTCTTATCGCTATGATTATAATTCATGGTGACTCATCCCTACACTAGCTCAAGAGACAACAGGTGTCAGCTTGAAGTAAACGTTCCTAGAATCACACTTCTGGAAACACATGTCACTGAATTAGCCAACAAAAATAGAACTGTATTGCTGGCCTGCTTACCAGTGTCATTTTGGCAAATCTTGGTTCCTTTAGAAGCTCTGGGTTTGTGGATACCAAGGGGTATGGCCTGGATGGCTGACAACGCAGGAATTTTCAATTGGCAAAAAAACCGTCTTGCGCCTCACACAGCCTCATTTGTCAATGTTTCCTCCAAAGCAGCAAACTGGCTTCAAAAGCAAGTTCTAATTAGACTCTGACAATACTGTGGAAGTTCCTAAGAGGCACCCAGAATCATTTACTCAAGTTAGAAGTGGTCAAGCTTAAAAGTATTCCTGACACCACGATTTTTCCTCTGCAGAGTATCCATGGATTAATTCTGCTTGTTAAAAAGCTTTTCTTAAAAAATGCTTTTCTTATATTGTCATGCAATATTCAACCTCTGCAAAGCATTTTCCTCAGCAAAGCATCCATGAATTGTCAAGAAGCTTTTTAAAAAAATGAAATCCTTTTTCTTCTGTTTTCCCTTCAATATTCAACCTGAACTGTATGTTTTGTACTTGCAGTCTTTTTCCCTGCGCACGAACGGGCCCAAGAGAACTGGGCATTTTACAGGGAGACAAAGTCAGGCTGTATGGTCCAACCTGAACTACTGGGTAAAGCAAGACACTATCCTGATGCTGTGCAGGGTCCAGTGCTTGCTTTGTTTTACTTATTTTTTTAAAGAATAAATTCCAAGAGAGAATTAACTCTTGAAAAAGTGATTAAAAATGTCAAAAAGAGCTTCATTTCCTCTGTACTCTTCTATTGGATTGCCAGCATCTGAGAAGGGTGCTGAGTAGTCCTTGTGAGGCCAAGAATCCTGCTTTCAGAGGGAAAGGCTTAAAAAAAGAAATTCTATCTCCTTATGTGGGAAGCTGACCATTGCAGTTAGGGTTTGGGTTAGGCAAAGTCACCATCGATTGAGAAATCTGAAGGAACGAAAACAGAAATGTATATGAATATATTTTAAAACAAAATAAAAGACTTCTGTAATGAGAAATTCTGGGAACAGATTTTAGTCACGTATTTTTAAGATCTGTACCAATTAGGAACAAAATAGTTCCGTTACTCATATCATCCCAGTCATTTAATTAAAAGAATAGATAAATCTGCCAACAACTTAACATGTGTGAGCTTTAAGAGTGAGCGACGTTCTGCAACATGACAAGACACCAGTTGGTCCAGTTCATCATTCAGTGGTGCACATTTCCAGAATGTCTGCCTGACGTTGCTGTTGCTGGTGGATTCTGTACCTGTGCATTTGCCATTCAAAACTTGGGTTACGATGCAAATACAGGTGCCTTTCGATCTAGCTCTGGCAGAACTGTACTTCCCCATTTGTGAAAAAAGGAAACAAGA